TTCTTGTGCTAATATATTTGTATTCTCAGTTTTGACCACTATTATTAATCTAGTATATTGCCCCACTTCCCTGCTTATATTTTTCCATATCATTGAATACTTTTTAGTTGCTTTGTAATATTCCATTATATGAATGTATAATAATTTAACCACTCTTCTATTGCTGAATTTATTTTTCTTTTTGCTGTCATGAATAACCTTATGATCACTTTGTTTTTGTTTACCAGGAGTTTTAAGGCGAATTTAGTCAATTCACAGCTACTTATTGAAACCTAAATACTTCCTATTGCAAATTTTAGGGAATTCTAGAAATGATAATTTTTTATTATTAAGTAGTTATACACAGAGGTTACAATTCCATAAGTCAGGTTATGAGTCCAGTGCTCTTGAAGAACTTATAAAACTTTTGATATATAATGAAAATTACTTTGCTATGAAGTAATCCAAAATCTCTTTCAGTAGTGTGTTAAGTGACAGAACAGCATTGATCATCTTTGCTCCTAATGTATAAAGAACCAAAAATAAGCAGGAGGAAGCTTTGGAGCAAGAAGCTCCGAAGAGTGAGTGGAAAGCAGGAAATTTAGATGGATGCTATTTATTCTGTAGTTATCTATCAGTACTTAAAGAAATGGAAGGGATAAAATAGGAAGGAAAGTAAAGCAGTCCCCTGTTTATTGGTTGTATTTGATAAAGGATGCAGGTAAGTTTCTGTGTGTTTCAGAGGGGATGGAGGAGAAGCTGGGGAGGAGGGGACCTGCTTCAGAACCTTGGGACACATTGCCCTGGTAGCCAATGGGAGGGAGGGAGGGCATATAGCTACCATGACAGACTTATACTCTTAGTACAAAGAATGTATTATAAGAGTATGTGACATTGAGATGAACTTGAAGTTTGTCTTTGACGCAGTATTTGAAATTATTCTGGAATACCTGGAAACAAGAGACTGGCAAGAAGCCTTTTTCACCATCTTACCTCAACGAAAAGGAGCTGTTCCCACAGATCAAGCCTGTGAACATTCTTCCCATGGCAAGCAGTCTCCTGGGGCCGAAGGCGGAGCCAACAGTGATTCCAATGAGGGGGTCAATAGCAGACTTGAGCCCAGCTCTGAGCACCCGGAAGCAAAGCAGGACAAGGAGAAGAGCACGGAGTCTTGAGTGGCCGCGGCGCACACTAATATTCCAGGTTCTCTCCTGACCTACGGGAAAGCTAGGAAGTAAAATACTCAGATTGAAAGAAAGCTTTGTTTTCTCTCATTTCCTTTGTTAAGTTAAAAAGAAAACAATTCAAGGTAAACGGCAACATAAATTTTTGCTTTTGCATAACATTTTGAAGGTGATTTTTTAAATTGAATTTTAAGCTTTCAGTAAGAGTGTGAGTTTATTTTATTAATATACCCTCAAATCTTTCATTTGCTGGAATTAATCTTCAAGATGTGCCTTCTGACTTTTTGGGTTTTATTGTTTTATGTTCATGTCAGTGTCTTTCTGATCTGTCACCTAGTTATTGGTGGAGGCAGACATCTGTGTTGTCAGTCCACTAGCATGTTAATATGGGAGGTCATCTACCCTGTATTTTCAGCTTTGCTATTCATTTGAGTTACTTCAAAGGTATATAGTAGTTCTAGAAGAAATAATAGTTCATTAGAGTCTGTTGTTTACCTCTTTGGACTATAGAGCCCAACCCTGTTCCCCTTTGAGATGGCATATTCATGGATCTGCAGCAATCATGAAAGCATGGAAAACCTTTTATCTGTTTTCCTCATTTTCATAATAGTAATTCATGGCCAGGCACACTTGGCTCATACCTATAATCCTAACTATTCAAGAGGCTGAGATCTAAGGATTGAAGTTTGAAGCCAGCTCAGGCAAGAAAACTCCATGAGACTTTTATCTCCAATTAACCACCAATGGAACTATGGCTTAAGTGGTAGAGTACTAGCTTTGAGCAGAAATGCTCAGGAACTGTCAGGCCCTGAATCCAAACCCCATGACAAAAAAAAGGAAATTAAAAATACACACACACACATACACACACACACACACACACACACACACACGCACAAACATATTCACTTTTCAGTTACAAAATTAAATTTTTGCAGGCTAAATTATTTCAGAAGCTGGCTACTTTTGAAGAGTCAATTTTTCCTTTACCTTAATTTAAACAGAACATTTCTAACAGTATTTATTTCCATGTTTTTTAAATAAAACATGTATTGGTTTTAAGATGAATATTGTACATCTGCCTCCTTTAATAACATTAAGCTAAAGTATATGTTCCGTTAAGGATTAATATGCATGCATGAAAATGGTACATGTAACTATTTACATCTATCTGTCCACATCATGTGTGGTTCTCGGTTGTTAATGTATGGGAATAGAAATGATCACCCTTTTTTGTGTAATGGTTATATTGAATCCAGTGAGAGCAATTTGATTTTTATTAAGTAAAAAATCTATAACCAAACTGTTCTTTGGCATGTTGGTGAAGGAGAATGGGGTGAAAGGGACCAGGTGGTCTTTTCTAAATAGCAATCATAGAAAAGTGACGTGTATGTGGTATGATTGTTCTTTGGCTAAAGTTCAGGGGCCTTTGCTGAGTTTTCACAGCATAAGTTTCTGTTCTTTTCTGTTCATTTTTTAATATGTGAAAATTCTATGTAAGCAATTATGTAACATGCATTATATATATTGTATAGGAACTCATTTATGTGTGGTTGAATTTCATGTGGACTCTCAAGATCTCTTTTGTTGCTTTATTCTTAATAATTATGTGGTCCTCCATATTAAAGCCTATACACAAGGCATGTAAATAAAGAAAAGCCTTACAACTGGGAAAAAAAAAACAGTTATCCGGAAGTCATAATTTTCAAGGTTCAGCTGTTTCAAATTAATCTGGTTTACTGTATGAAATAACCTTTTACTTAAATGATCTGCCATAGCATAGCACAGTTTTAATTATGAAAGGTAAACAAAAATTACAGGTACAAACCATGTCGTTTAGCTTTCCTTAATTATAAAAGCCCTATGTTAGTTTTGTCGGTGTGCTGTAAAGCCCACCACAAAGTGGGTGGATTAAAGCAACAAACTCATTCTCCCAGTCCTAGTTGAAGGTCCAGAACTGAGGGTTGGTAAGGCCTTGCCCCCTCCCAGTGCTGGGGAAGGGCCCCTCCCACCTTTTAGTACTAGGCATTACCAGCAATCCTGGCATGCCTTGGCTTTCTATTGGATCACCCAAATCTCTGTTGTCACATTTCTCCTGTGTTGTGCCCCCCAAATTTCCCTTCATTAGGAAAGCAGCATCGAGCTAGGTTTACCATAATTCAGTGTGATCTATGCTTGACTACATCCACAAAGCCTCTATTCTCAAAGAATGTCAAGTTTCATGGCTACCAGATGCTAGGACTCCATGTATCTTTCATGGAAGAACCCAACTCTATATCCACTACCAGCCCATACCTTATCTAGGATACTGGCGGTAATTACCACTTTGTTTGAAAATAACTTATTTTCTGAAGTATTTAATAATTGTTTTTTTAAAAACAATATGCTTTTTTCTTATTTTAATGTTATTTTTCACAACTTGTTTATTTAACATTATTAAAACAAGTTAATATTAACTCACTTGTATTAGAATATAATAAAGCTAAGGAATACTTTCCATGCAGCAAAAGATTATCTGTATGCCAGGTACTAGTGCCTCACACCTGTAATCTTAGCTCCTTAAGAGACTGACATCCAGCCTAGGCAGGAAAGTCCATGAGACTTATCTCCAATTGACTTATCTCCAATTAACCACCATAAAGCCAAAGTGAAGCCATGGTTCAAGTAATAGAATGGTAGCCTTGAGCAAAAAGCTTGGAGGCAGTGCCCAGGACTGATAAAATAAAGAATATGCATTTTCTGAAATACTAGGACTCCTTTCATCATTTAATTTATTCCTTCTTTCTCTCACTTCTCTTTATCTTTCTACCCATCCTTCCTTCCCTTATTTCTTCTTTCCACCTTCCTCCCCTCCCTCCCTCCCTTCCTTTCCATTAAGGTTTGAACTCCGGGTTTTTTTTGCTTTCTAGGCATATGCTCTACCACTGATGGAGGCACACTTCCAGCCCTTTTTCCTTTGGTTGTTTTTGAGATTGGGTCTCACTTTTTGCTCAGGGCCAGCCTGGACTATGGTTCTCCTATTTACATTTCTCTCTGTAGCCAAGATGACAAGCATTGCCACCATGACCAACTTTTTCTTTTGAGAGAGATTCTTATGAACATTTTTGCCTGGGCAGGCATGCAGCCATGATCCTCGCAATCTCAGCCTCACAAGTAGCTAGAGTTATAAATGTTTCTTATGGGTGCCCAGCTTCCCCGTTTAATTTCTTTAACAGCTCTCACTGGCCTTTATAAACCAAGCTTATTCCTGAGAAGCAAGTTTCATTCTGATTCCCTAGAGATCAGTGAAAACATTCATAATGAACAAAAAGGCCGGGGAGGGCAATTCTACAGAATTAAGAGGCAAAGGCAGGGGATAGGTGAGAACTTTTCTACAATAGCTCAGCAAAACACTGAGTTGCAAAAATCAGCTCAAAGCAACATATTCCAATAATGGGTTATCTGTCCAGTATCAAAGCTTGGTGTGTTTGTGTTAATACTCACTGTTCCAGATAGACAACAGTATTTGAACAAACCTACTTCTCTTACACATAGTATTAAAATTGATGACAAATAGAAATATTGTCTCCATTAACATTTATTTGTAGCATTGTATTCAGGTGTTTTGAGATTTACATGCGCCACTATTAAGAAGACCAGACCATTTGAATCTTTCAGAAATTAACCTGAAGTTGCAAACATTGTGAAAAGGTTAGCCTGGTGTACAACAACTTCTACCTCTGGCTTACAAAAGGATAAAAACCTCTCTGAGAACAGAAAGTGTTATCTTGCTGTGTACCCCTTGCTTTTCCTGTTTGGCTTTCCTGAGTATTGGACCTGAGAGGAGAATTTGACTGGTTGAAATATTCTGTCACGGGGATTTTCGTCGTGTTTCTTCTTAAAAATAATGGCTGCTTGTGCTCAGCTCCTAAAACAAAAATAAGTCTGAATAAGACCATAATTGGACATTAAATAAATTTGCCTTATTTTAGTAACAAATGATACCGAAAAGGCTATGTGAAATTTAGGTAATCAGAAACACTCAAAATTCGTAAAATAATTATTCTTGTCTTTATTTCTTACTATGGGCTCGTCTTTAATGCATTTTTTGTTCGCTAACATGCAGGTTCTTTCACTTAGAAGCAGACTTGATTTTGGTAAAGGCGATTTACACTTGATGACAAGTACAAGTATAGTGGTTGGGCAAAGAGTTGATCAGTAAGAGAAAGGAGAGAGATGCCGTCAGTTCTGACTGATAAAACCAGCACATAGGCAAAAAGGCTAAAACAAATTATTGTCCTAAAAGACGTTTTCTGAAGCCTGCATAGGTGCTCTCAAATAGAAATATTGGAATAGGATTGCAGAAGATGCTGAAGATCAACAGTGGGGAGAAAAGGAATGTGATTTGGAGGAATACTATACAATTTCCAGGTATGCAGTCAGAGAACAATATATATGGAGCCTACAGGTAAAATCTAAAATTGAATAGAAACTATCACTATCATAGTGTTATAGTCCTGAGATAAGGAGTATGGCAGAGGAGGCAATAAACTATCCTTGAAGTCAGAGAAAAGCTGTGCTTTCAAACTTCTCTACTGCACTTACTAATGGCTGTTAGCTGCTTTTTGTTTAGTTTTAGTTTGATATCCTGCAGTGGAAACTGCTCAGGCCCAGAGTGAGCCCACGGAGCTCTGATGACCATATAATAGCTAGTGTAAAGGCAACCTGGAGAAACAGGACTGAGCTTTATTTGAGGCTTGTAGACACACTTGTTGCCCTTTCATCATTATTGCTGTGTTTGTTTTAAAACTAGACGCTAGGATTCTTCACTTATGCCATTTGGAACCAATGGAGTACCTTCCACCTCTGTTGACTCTGATCTAAACTGTAGGCCTTTCGTGGGGGGGCACACAAGGCAGTTTTCTATTTCAGCTGTCTCCCAGGGCACCTGCTTATAGCAGACTGCCATTTTACTCTTCTCTCAGATCAATTTTGTTTCCAGGGAAATCATGCAACTCGGGACCATTAAGCTGTGAAGGACCAAATTTCTTCAACCATTCCCCTTTGGAAGGCCAGTGCAGAGGTTTCCTTTCCATTGACTTTGTGTATCTATCCTGTAGTTCCCACTGTCCTCCTGTCTTGCTTCTCCAAGAGTCTTTTGTCTGTGTTGAGGTACCTTACCATTCCAAAGAATAGTAAAGTATGTTACATTCATCTCTATGAGAAATTTGTCCATTTCCATCCTTGATTAGCTGAGCGATGAATTGCTATCACATTTTACTGTTTTTCTTCTAAAACCTCAGTTCTTTGCCCTTAAAGAGTTACTTACTGGATTCCTTATACTGACTCAGTAATTATCACAAACTGTACTTAACCTTTCATAACTTCCTTATTTTCTTCAGATCCTTGACTTGACACTCTAAACCAATTGGAGAAAGGAAAATATGAATTTCACAGATAGAAATTAGATTACAAGCTCAGTGTATGTTTATCATAAATATGCTGATTCAACTGTTTCTTAATGCAGTCAGTATTAAGTTTACTTCCTAGTGAGAAGTTCCTTTCTATACTTATCCTTTGAAAAAAATATCTACTAGTTGTATCATATATTGGTCACAGAGATAGAAAAACTAACCCTTACTATCCTACTTTTTGGCTTTATGGAAACACAAATTACAACATGAAATCCTTCTTTGTCTTAATTATTTTTGAAGAGGCATGGTTTTTTAATATTCATTTTCTCTGACATATTTTATCCAACTTTTAATTTTAGATGATACATTTTCTCCCCCAGCTTACAACACATTGTCTTAATGTGATCTTACATGTAAATATACATGCTGCTTCTAGAATTACAATGACATGATTTAAAACATTTTCATTCTGAAATAATTTTCATGTCCCTAATAGTTACGTTCTCTGCTAGAAGCTCTCCCCAAATTAAAGCAATTTACTTTTATCTCTGTTGTTCCAAGGGGGAAAAAAGTCATAGTGTTGTGATATGCACTTAACAAAATATACTTCATGACAACAATGTAGATTCCATTTCCTATATGGTTTCTATTCTAAGTTAAACTAAAACAATGCCTGTATACATTTTTTTTTTCAAATTTCTAGGCATTTACTCTTACTTTGCCCTTAGTGGAAAGAGAACTTTCCTCAAAGGAAGTTATTGAATTTTAAAAAAATTGCTCCTGACAACATGTTCTGAACAGTAGAACTGAGAACAGTGATTATATTTAGGAAAAAGAAAACATATGCATAATAGAATCATTGACTGAGTAGAGTTCAGACTTAAAACCTAGTGTTTTAGGTTTTGTTGTTTTTTTTTTCAATTCCAGTCTTTGTGTACTAGTGGGCTCTAGATGGCAGGTGCATGCAATTACCTAGGTGTTTGATGGCTTTCCTCAACTCCCATGGGTGTTGTAGATTTTGCAGGTGAATTCTGCAGTGATTTGACACTGGCGGTTGCTTTAGCAACTGCAGGTGACTTCTCCCGATCTGCTACTGGTTCTGCTGAGGCACTTCTTCTGTGACCATCAGTCAAGAAGTTTATCTCAGCCAGCTCAGAGTGAACCAAAGCAGACACCCACTCTTTTTCTGATTAGAAAAGAAAAGAAGAGTTGGTGGTTACAATGACCATGTGGGCTGGAACACACAGGATTCGTTTTTTTATCTGGTATGGTTAATATGAAAGGCTGGCAGTCTGGTTTCTGGGTAAGCATTTCTGTGTGAGTACATATTTCTGTAGAAAAGTTGTTTCATTCCAGCCTGCTTTCTGTGAACCTGTGGCACAGCAGTGTTCAGGTCAGGTGAATCACTGAAATACTTGACCTTGAATGCCAGTGAGATCATTTAAAAGTACTGAGTACAAAAGCCAAATATAAAGCTAGTTATACCACATACGGGTATGTGTATAAACTATCCCATTAAAATTGACTTCATTGTTAAATAAATACAGGGAGAAGAGAGGGGGGTCTAAAAAAAGTAGTAGAGGGGATAAATTTGATCAAAGTGCATTTCATATGAGCAAGCATAGAAATACTAATGCAAACCCTTTGTACAATAAATTTATACTAAGATATTAAAAAGAACCCACAGTGACAAATATGTCTAGAAATATCTAGAAATCCCAGCTACTCAGGAGCTTGAGATCTAGAGGATTACAGATAAAAGGTAGCATGAGCAGAAAAGTCTATGAGACTCCATTTTTAATTGACCAGCCAAAAGGCAAATGGCTCAAGTGGTAGAGCACCAGCTGTGAGCAAGCAGGCTGAACTGGAGTCAGCCACCCTGTGTTCAAGCCCTAACAACAAGAGAGAAGGAAGGAGGAAAGAAGGAAGGAGGGAAAGAAGGAAGGAAAGAAAGAAGGAAGGAAGGAAAGAAGGGAGAGAGGGAGGGAGGGTGGGGGGGAGGACCAATGAACTGAAATGGTGTCTATAGTAGTTTGGTGATTATTCCTATTTTTTCTTGTCATTTATTGTTTCCGGTTCACCTGTCCTTTTCTCCCAATAAACTGTGTGTGTGTGTGTGTGTGCGCGCGCGCGCACGCACGTGCACACGTGCACAAACATACACACACGTAATGGGATTTAACTCAGAGCCACACTTACTGACTTGCTCATGGCTGGTGCTCTACTACTGAGCTACACCCCTAATCTGGCTTTCTTCTGGTTACTGTGGAGATGGAATCTTGTCATCTCTTTTTGGGGGTGGGGGGCCTGGGATTTAAACTATAGTCTTCCTAGTATCAGCCTCTTGAGTAGCTAAGATTACAAGGCATGAGCCACAGTGCCTAGGTCCAACAATAAGCATTTCTTTCTTGTGTGGTTTATTGAATGTAATATTCTTACAAAAAGAAAAATATTAAGAAGATTATTTATATATAATATATAGTATAATATTAAAAAGATTAAAGAGATCCTGGGATAAGGTACTATTTCAAAATTCTCCCTATTTTAAAACATTAACCTATTCCTAACACACTGGTACTTATGCTGATTACTGCAAAGATTCTCAGACCAGCATTAATCATCAACAGCATCTGGGAGCCCATTAGGAATGTAAGTTCTCAGAGGGGTTCCCTCAGTGTGATGATCAGTTAGACTGGCGTAAGTTCCACTTATAGTTGCCCTGCTTTAGAATAGTAGTCATTTTTATGGGACCAACAGGGACCCAAAGGAAGCTATGGAATGACTGAGGTGATTTAGTTAAAATTGTAGAGCTGCCAAGATCTGAAACTTGCTGAGTGTTGATGGCTCATTGCCTGTGATCCTAGCTACTCAAAAGGCTGAGAGCTGAGGATCACGGTTGGAAAACATGGGCAGGCAAGTCTATGAGACTCATTTCCAATTAACACTCCCCCTCCCCAAAAAAAAAAAACGCCCGAAGTGGAGTTGCTGTTCAAGTGGTAGAGCACTAGCTTTGAGCACAAAAGCTCAGGGTCAGCACCCAGGCCCTGAGCCCGAGCCCCAGGCCTGGCCCAAAAGGATTCAGGGTTCACAGCAGGCCAGAGGACCTACACAGTGAGACCTCTTGAGTGTGTGCATCGTGAAGTAGATGCACAGACCAGCCGAGTTCAGTTTGAGGCATGTTCTGTTTTGTGTCCTCTGCATGAGGAGCATTTACGTAGATGGATATATACAAGGCTGCAATGATTCTGGTACTGACAGGCAAACTTCCAGTATGGGACTATTCCCATATGGGGACAATAACTTGAGCACAGGACTTGCAAAGGCATATTGTAACTCACCTTTTGTACTTGCATGAAGCAGCCACTCCAGAACTTCTCCTAGAGAGTCAGTATGTAAAATTTCACAGAGCTTTGCCAGGATCTGACAGAGAGCACATGAGGGTTCCATAGTGAGAAAACAATGTTAGAAGATTTCCTTTGTCTTCATCCAGGACCTCACCTCCCCCAAATGGCATTCTAGTCCATCCTCAATGCTCCATTATGTCCACTGGGATTTCACTTTGTGAGCCAGATTTCTAACAGTACACAGTGAAGAGGCAGAAGTATAGTGCAGGTTAGGCAATGCTGTGCTTCTTCTGTGTCTATTAAATCTCAGAATCTTCTGGAACAAATGATTCACTTGTTTTAGGGAAATGGATCTTTTATGGCTGCACTGTGGAGTTGTAATGGGAATCTGCTAATCACAGAACTGGCCCAGAGAACTGGGTATTTTCATTGTACGTTTGTAATGGTTAAATCTCTTTAGTCCTCAGGGTTTTTTTTTAAAAATCTGGAGCTGTGGGCTAAAGTGTGACAGAAGAGCTAAGAATACAATAGAGTTATTCCTTAAAAAAAAAAAAAAAAAGACTGTGAAATAGATGTGGTGGTGCATGCCTGTAATTCTAGCACCTAGAAGAACGGGATAAGAGAATAGTGAGTTCAAGGCCAGTCTGGCCTACAGAAAGAGACTCTGTCTCCAAAAGCATCAACAGTACCCAAGCTATTAAATAAGCACAGGTAAAGAAGTTTCTGGTTTGAGCTCTCATTGTGTCTGTTGTTTGAATGCATAGCTACCCTTTATATCTAGCTACATACTTCTACTTAATTATATTATGCATACTTTGACCTTGAACTAAAACTGAAAAAATAATATTTGTTTTGGATTCCCCATATCATCATAGTTAGCAAAAATTCATAGCAGTCTACCAAGGAGACTTGTAGAACTGAACCTGTTTTCAATCTCAAACAAAGGGTTATCAGCAAAGATTTTGAGGATGCTACCTTTGGTACCTACCATAAACTTTATCCTCCTGTCATTTTTCTCTTGGTAGGACTTTTCTGTGTATACCCAAATCCCTCAGAATAGTTACTGAACATGAATTCTGAGTGGTTTTCCTGAAGTTAGTTAATAAGGGGTCAGAATAAGGGGTCACTGTCAATCTCTAGTTTTATTGGTATAATTCTATAATGACAAGCGAGTGTGCTCTAGGGACAATGCCAATTTTAACAGATACGAGAACTGAGGTTCCAATGACACACGTATTAGAATGCCAGTATATTTTCACAGATCATTAAGGGTTTTAAAAATAGTGTGGTCTATTTACCTTGCATAGTTTTTATCGCTCTGCCTTTTAATTTACTCACTAGCATTTCTGCAGGGTGAAATTTGCTGCTGAGCACTATTATAACTATTCTGTGAATGTTCTGTTTTTCAAATCTAGTATTTCCTTTAGGTCCTCTTTTTTTAACAATTTTATTTGTCTTACGAGATTTCCCATCTGTTTACTCATGCTCATTTTTTAAAGTATTTTTCAGCAGGCTTTCCTGCTAATTTCAACCTGCATGTCATGTCAATGTCTGTTAATGTTAATTCATTTGTTTTCTCCTCTTCTTGGTTAGAGAGTCCTATTTCTTACATGTCTAGTGACTTTTAGGAATGTGCTTTGTTTATGCACATTGTAGAGTGTATGTTTTCCTTTTTTCCTTTATACAGTGTTAAATTCTGGAAAGTGGTTAATATGTTAGCAAGTGAGTTTTATTTGTTTAAAGTTTACCTTAAGTTTTAGGAGCCTGAATTTAGAATAGTACCAACAATAGGGTTTACTAACACTGTTTTTGAGTTGAGTCTTTTCTAGTTTCCTGTTGTGTTAAGCAGGTCTCTTTCCTGGCATGTATGAATTCCAGCACCCCTGAGCTTTGTTGTCATTGTCTTCCACTAACTTTCTCTTGTCAGGTATCAGAATCTCACCTTGTTGACATAAATCTTAATCCTGGGCCTGAGTCTCAATGGGCTCCTACTCAGATCCCTTGAGCTCATTATCCACATCAGTTACTCTTCTTTAGTATCCTTGCAAATTTCAGTCACTTCAGCACCCTCAAACTCTAAACTCTTGACTCTGCATCTAGGAAAGTTACTGTTGTGTGTTTGGGCTCCATTTCCCTGCAATATGATTAGAAGCGCACCCCAGACCTGCATGTGAGTTGAATATGAAAATTACCCCAATTGTTCCTCAGCTCCCAATGATCATGAGTCTCTGTTATCTGCTGCACAATAAAAGTTAATATCTGTTTCCCATTTATATAATCTATTATTTTGTGACGAGAATCACTCATCATTCTTTCTTCCCCCCACCCCCAAATATACCTAGTGATATGCTTATTTATTGTTGCATTCTATGGGGTTTTGTTGGTGTGTTTGTGCTGTCCCCAAGTTATAGCTTTAGTAAACCTTGCCTCTTACTTTTATCTCCTGATCCAGATAGTTTGGTATGCAAACAGTGTTCTCCTTGACGTGAGCTTTGGTTCTCGGAACCTCTGAAAAGCAAGATCCAGCAGTAGAGGATGCCTTTGAAGGTGTCTTTTTGGCCTTAATTTCTGCCTGAATCAAAGATATAATATAATCAGTATGTAGTTTTCAATGTAGCCATTTAATAAGGGAGATCATATAAGCCCATGACCTTGCCACCCTAAATGTACCGGATCTCATCTGATCTCATCCTGGTTATTACCAGGATGAAGAGATCCAGAGAAGAAAAAAAGAAATCATGTAAAGCCCTTGCATTAAACATCAAGATAATAATTTTGAAATATGTAACGTGCAACATTTATTTATATTACAGTTCTAGTCAACAACCAACTCCTAAAATGTAAGATTTGCTGTTGCGTGGGGAAGATTTCTTTCAGATGGCCAGTAAAAGACAATGGAGAGATTTTGTGCTTTTTTTTCTGTAAAGAGAACTGCTGCTTCCTTGCTCCGTGGCAGCTAAGAAAGTTAGGAAGACAAACTAAACTCCCTTAATTAGCTTAGAGAAGGAACTAGAAAAGCTATGTTCTTGTTCTGATGGTAAATGTACTGTTTGCAATTTAAACAACAACAGCAAAGCAGACTGTGGGATCTTTGAATCCAGGAAGAATTATAAAAGCCTTATATCTGTGTCTGTTCCAGACAAGGCTCTTTAATAACCTTTAAATGTGACTGATAAAGACACACATAAGCTAGTGATTTAAGCAGTCAACAGCTTGGGACTATGGTGGCTAGAGTTGATAGAATGTTTGACTGTTGATATTTCTTAAAAATAGAGTAGGATTGTATTAAGAAGCATTCTGATTTTTAAAGGTTATTATGCTGATTTATGCAAATGATAGTAGTATATGATTTTTAAAGTTTATTATGCTGATTTTTGCAAGGGACAGTAATGTATATTCAGCCTTCTGAGTAGCTCGGATTGCAGGCATGAGTCTTCAGTACCCAGTGGCATGAACTGTTGATACTCAGGGATATGTTTTTAAATAATCCTGCTAAATTGAAGAAATAAACATTTAAAAGGAAACTCACTATACAATTTCGTTTGGATAAATTTTGTTTTTGTCTTTGTTTTTTGCCAGTCCTGGAGCTTGAACTCAGGGACTGGACATTATTCCTGAGCTTCTTTTGCTCAAGGCTAGCACTCTACCAAACTCAGGGCCTGGACATTATTCCTGAGCTTCATTTGCTCAAGGCTAGCACTCTACCATTTGAGCCACGGTACCACCTCTGGCTTTTTTTGTTTATGTGGTACTGCAGAATCAAACCCAGGGCTTCATACATGCTGGGCAAACACTCTACCACTAAGCCACATTCCTAGCTAATCATTAAAGCTATAAAGAAGGGGAACATTTGCCTTTGAGAGGACCAGAGCCAAGAGGAAACTTTTGAAGCTGATTAATGTGTGCTTTTTCTGGCTTTGAGTGTCAGGGTGAGTATGTATTTATCAAAACCCCTTAAATCATGTATTTTGTATCATTTTAATTAATTGTAATAAAGCCATAAAATATTGTGAGATATGGTGACTTTTCAGAAACATATGCAAAAGAGGGGAAACGATAGATGTTGAACTAAATATGTACATGCCATATCTTTACCTTTTTAATTACTAATGGATTCATACTGGAAGTCATGAAGCACTCATTGGTTTTTCTACAAGGCTCTGAAATGAAATTGGAGAGAAAGATGCTTACATTGAACTGAAAAAGAATTTCGATCATGTGATATATGTTCCAGTTGCTGAAACAGTTTAAACTAAGGTCAACTTGGGGATGTGCTTTATTAACAGCACATTTAATTCATTTAATTAAATTTTAAGTACTTATTTTAATCCACCTTCTTTTTTGTTAAACTGATCGAGTGTCAACCTTGAGTGAAAAATCTAAGCAAGAATGTGACTGATGCAAGAAAATGATGCAAATAATAAAAAAGAAAACGCAAAAACAAGAGTCTCATGGGGAATATGTAAACATTCATTTTCCTCTCTGTCAGATGTAGTTCAATTTTAGCTAAACTTTAATCTGATATCTCTTAATTCGTTTTTACATGAATTAGAAACTACTATCATAGCCAATATATCTTGGACACAACAATGACGGTAATAATATTTATTGATATTTAATATATTTAAGGATATTAAATATGTTAAGTATAAATTAATAAATTAAAATTTAATGATATTACCCTACTGAATTATGAGTAGAAGAGTGAAACTTTTCTGTGGAGGATAACATATTACATGCTGAGAAAAATGTCACAGCTATTTAACGATTGCTGCCACTATTTTAGCAATCACATCCATTTTGACCCCTTAGGAACAGAGGAAGTCTAAGGAAATGGACCATCCAGAGAGAAGCACTCACCAGAATGAGGCCGGGGGGGCAGTTTGACACTGTGTGGGGTTGGTGTCATTCTTCGGACAAAACTCTGGGCACTCCTGTTGCTGGAACACTCCCCTGTGGGGCTGGGTGGGTAAATGCATTTGGAGGTCGGTATCTCGTTTTTCTCTAAGTTGTTATTCTGGCCAGTATAGCACAGTGTTCTGAACATGCTCTCGTCATCATTCACAGTACAGATTGGAATGTTATTCAAACCTAGATGGGTTAGGATGAAAAGGATCAAATAGCTAGCTTGTTTTTAGTAGGCTTTCTTGGAATGATCAACAATTTCCCAACCAAATATTGTTAAGTGGCATAAAATGTTGAACTTCAAATTGTGTGAATCAGGACTAAAGTTGGACATTCTTTGGAAAGCAGTGTAGCAGTATATGGACCCTTAAAGTCTTGAGCTGTTTTGTCAGCCTTGAAATCCAGACCCACAGCTTTGATCCTGGTCTGCAAGTCAAACCAAGTAGATGCTCCTGAATCCCAGGTAGACATCTCACTGCTCAAGTCTTGATAGTGACAAATGGACTCCAGGTTTAGATTTTTGAAAACATTTAAAATGCTACCATGTTATAAGATCTTATAAGAGAGGTACCCTGAATCTTTGTTTTTGTGAACAGACAATAAAAGGCTATTTGAGGTAGGATTGGAAAGAAGAAAAACGAAAGAGAAGGAGGAAGGGAGGGAAGGAGACTAGGGAGGAATAGGGGAAGGGAAAGGGATGAAAGGGAAGAGAGGGAGGAAGGGAAGAGAAGAAGGAAGGAAGGAAGGAAGGGCCACTTCCAGTTAATTGAAGATTAAGAGTTTCATGGCCTTTTGTGCTCAGGCAGGATTTGAACCACAATCTTCATGAGCTACCCAGCACCTGGCTACTTTTTTCATTCTTCTTGTTTTCTGTATGTACTTCAGAGCCTTCAGAAATCTACTTTTGAAAACATCACTCTCTATTTCCCTCTAGAACCCAATATAGATAGACATATGCATACTTTTAAATTCTGATCTAAAAGGAGATATTGTCACTTCATGATGCACAAAGTGAAGGAAGGGAAGGAAGCAGAGAGAAGAAGAAAGAAGGAAGATGAGGAGGATAAAATATATGCTCCTTCAGAGGAATTTTATACAGCCATTAGAAAGAATATTATGTCATCTGCAGGGAAATGAATGGACCTAGAACAAATCATTGTTAAATGAGGAAAGTCAAACTCAGAGACACAAACGACTCATGTTTTCTCATATGCAGAAGAAGTTAGATCTAAAATACACCAGGACATGATCAATTATACAGGACTCTAGGCATTCACTCACAGTGAGACCAAAGGAGGATGCTCTGAGGAGAGGAGCACAAAGGTGCAATGCCTATGTGCATCTGATCATACAAAGTAATATTTATAGGAATGAACTCCAGGAAATGGAAACAAAGGTCCTTTCTTTGTTTGTTTGTTTTTTTTTTTTTTTGTCTTTTTTGTTGGTTTATCTGTCCTTGGAAGGGTAAGCCGGGAGGCGCAGAGAAAGGAGAGACAAATAGTGAACAAATACAGCTGTGACACTAGACACCATGTTGAAAATGAACAATGTAACTTGTGGGTGGGGATGGGAGGGGAAAATGGGAGAGAGCAAAGGGAAGGGGCGACATGGTCCCCCCCCCCCAAATATGTACTCATTACCTGAGTTTTGTGACTATAACCCCTCTGTACCATTATAATACCAAAGTTTTAAAAAAAAAAGTTTTTCTGCGGTTGCTACTTGGTCTGAAGCTGCTGGTGTGGCTATGCAGACAGTTCAAACACTGATACACTTAAACCCAGTGGGTCCGTTCTGCCCCCATGGCTCTACCTACTTTGACCCCTCCCCAGGCCCCTGTCCTAATAAGACCTCCATGGGCTAAGGTCTGCAAAGAAAGGGCCTGCAGATCTCCTCTTTAGCTCCTGCTCTGGCTTATGGTCCCAGCAGTAAGGGCTATGCCTTACCAATGATTAAACACTTTGAGGACACTAGTGTGTAACCATCTGGTAGCTCACTGGGGTGGGGGAGAATCGGGGGCCAGGAAGAGGATGAGACACATCCTAGGACCTGAAGCTCCTTACCTTTGATGTGACATACTCTTCTGGGATGGGGAGTGTGCCTGACCAGAAAGCAGTTTTCACTTCTAGGCGAACTGCGGCTGCCTCTGTACTCGAACTGAGGAGCAGACGTGGAGGACTTGAGGTTTGAAGTCATGGCGCGATGGTTCTCCCCCCTCCACTGCTGCCAAGGACGCTCTCAGGATCTAACTGGGCTAACCTCGCTTTCAGATGGGCTCAGGACCTGAAAGCACAACATGGCAAGTGTTCTCAGCTTCTTCTATGGCACTGAGTTGTTTCTCTTGTCAAAGCCACAGGAGGCTATTTTGCTTTCAGACTAAAATTGTGTAAACAGTATAAAAAAACATTCTCCTGTAAAACAAGGTATTTGTAGTCAGGTGACAGTGGCTCATTCACGCCTATAATCCTGACTACGAAAGAGGCTGAGATCTGTGGATCACGGTTCAAAGCCAGCCCATGCAGAAAAAAAGCCATGAAACTCTTTTCTCCAATGAACCAGCAGAAAGTCACAAGTATAGCTCAAATGAGAGAGCACTAGCCTTGAGCAAAAAGTGCAGAAACTGTGCTCAGGCCCTGAGTTCAGGCCCCAGGATTGGCGCATGCACGTGCGCGCGCGCACACACACACACACACACACACACACACACACACACACACACGATACCATAACTTTTATTTTTAATTGCACTTATGGTATTTTGGTGCCTTTTATCAACCAAAAATAAATTTATTATTTTCAATTTTGATATGACAAGTTAACATTATTGCTTTAAAATATAATAACTACAAACATGCTTTACATGAACTTAACTTTCAATGAGGATCTTTCGCATTGTATGTGAAGAAAACCAGCACCAATGCAACACAGTTGTTGACTTGCGTGTTCTTAGGGCCCACAGCACAACCTGCCCCATAATCAGTACTCAAAAGTTACTTACTATTTTCTACAGTATAAATACCTTTCACAAATAGCATCTTTTATTTATAAGATCACCTCCAAATTAGGCTGCTTACTTTTAAAGATAACCCATTTGAAAAACACGGTATTTAGCCAAGCACCAGTTGATCACGTCTTTCATGCTAGCTACTCAGGAGGCTGAGCTCAGAGATTTGCAGCTGGAAGCCATCCCAAGCAGCAATGCCCATGAGACTCTACTCTTCAATTAACTACCCAAAACTCCAGAAGTGGAGTTGTAGTCAAGTGGTAGAGAGCACTAGCCTTAAGCAAAAAACAAAAACAAAAATTAAAAAAACAACCATCAGGGACAACACCCAGGCCCTGAGTTCAAGCTCCAGCACACACACACACACACACACACACACACACACACACACACACACACACACACACACACACACCCCACACACACATACACACTTAGACTTCGACAGAAGAGGAGGAAATTGAATTTACCATACCTAAAGTGTTGGGAAGTTATTTAATGATGAATTTAAACTTGTACCTGAGGACAGTTTGAAAAGCAGATGATTTGGCTGCCAGGAACTCAAATCTGTTGATACTCTTCCAGCCTCATCATGGGGCTAGACTGAGATTTTTGTTCATTAACAATTTGCTGAGAATTTTCAGTTGGCAAAACTAGACTGATGCCGCCACCAAAAGAAACCAGTTAGCTCCCTCCAGATCCTCTGACTCTCCAAGGAGCCTCTATGTCTCCCTGGTTGTTAAGATACACTCACAGCTTAGCAATGCACTAACATTCCTTGGGAAGGTCTGAGTTCTAGAACTTCTGTACCCTCTCTCCTCACAGACCTCTGGTTATTCACAGCTTGACACAATGATGTAGCAGCAAGTGGCCTTGCTCAGTGTGGAACATGTAATGAATAGTAAAGAAAGAAAAGAAAGCGATACAAATCGTATTGACAATTCTTCCCCACTTCTGCTTAACAAACATGTGACTTAAACCAATGTTGCTCAAGGGGAAACTTGTGGGGGAAATGTTGCAAATTACTTTGATGAGCTGATCTTTATGGTTTTTTCTATTTGTTTGTTTTTTTAAGATTGACTCTCATTTCCTGCTCAGAATTGTGCCTAGACCGCAATCCACCTATTTGGGGCTTGCTGTGTTGATAGGTATGCATCACCATATCTGTTTTTCCTCCGTTAAGGACTTTTCTGCCCAGGCTGGTCTAAAACAATAATCCTCCTCATCTTAAGCCTCCCATACCACTGAACCCAGTTATAGGCAGAGAAAGGGGTCTGGTAGACGTGTCTGCCCAGACGGGCCTCAAACTGCAATCCTCCCAACCTCAGCTTCCCAAATAGGATTGCAAGCACAAATCACAAGGGTACGTGGCTCATCATTTTTTCTTTTCAGAATAAACATGCTTCTGAACTTCTAGAAGCACTGTAGGTCATTTTTGTTTTCTTCATACTGCTGGAGGTTGAACACATATAAGGTGTGAGGTGCTGTACTGATACATTGTATAAAATAATTAATATGAAATTATCCCATCTTATCCGGGTAAGCCCTAAATCCAAGGATGAGAATCTTAATAATACACACAGTAGCTCAAGTGGTAGAACACCTGCTTAACAAGTGCAAGGCCCTGAGTTCAAACCTTAGAACCACCAAGAAAAAGGGAGAGAGATACACAGAGAAACAGAGACAAAGCCCAAGCTCTCAGAACTCCAACCTCCCAAAACTTCACATAATCCATTTCAGTTGGCTTAAGCCACTGCATTAAGTTAATTTGTTATAACAGCCATGAGAGACAAAGACATGCCTCTTCTTGAATTTCCCTAAGCTGCTTCGGCATTGGGTTAAAATATTTAAATTTGTGAATGTTTTTACTCCTGAGAGGTGATGGTTTAAGTGCCACATCTGTCACTAGATGGAAGCAGCGTGCTGTAAGACACCTTGGTCCCAGGCTGGGACAGAAGAGGCAGACACTGATGTAGTTGGCCACTTGGTGCTGTCAACTAAGACATTTCAGAAGATAAAAATCCATGAAAGCATATGCCCGGCCCTTTCAGTTAGAGACAGCTGATGACCTGCAACCCTGCCCTGGATTGTGCCACTAGGGGAAGAGATCTTTGAATACAATTTACATGGAGGATCTTCGGTTTTCTCTTTATTTAAGCTTAGCTATAAATACATATATAGTGTGTCTTAGGGTGTCAGAGTGAACGTTTTATATCTACAAAAATGCCTTACAGACTTAGAAGTGCTCCCTTCCATTCTTATAACAGGATAGCAATGTTTAAAAGAGCAATTATCATCCTGGTTCTCCCAAAGGATTACTTAGGGACTTGCTTTCTAGATGACATTCAGGATTTATGGGTAGCTTTGCCCTCGGTGTTAGCTTCATACATCTTTGTGGAGTGAGTGAATGAGTGATCGAGTGGATGAATAAATCAATGAAGCAATACCCTGAACCGGGGTGGGACTGATAAAATGAGGGTAACTTGCCTGAGAGTTAGACTCTTCTAATTGGATAGTGAGGGAGGCGGCCAAGAGCTCAGGCTGTGATTCTGAAGGGGGGTGGGAGCCCCAAAGTCGCAAGTAGGCAGGTCACGATGAGACCTTGGCTCCACTCAGACCTCCCAGCCGACTCTGAGACTAGACCTCAGGCCTTGCCAGTCTATTAGCCTTCTCAGGGTGCAGAGGATCAAGGAGAGGGGAACCTTGTAGTCCCAATGTTACTAGCAGTTGCACAGATGACAATCTCAGATTCCTGGTGTCTCCAGTGAAGAACTGAATGAAAACACATACATGCCTTGGGCAAAGCCAGGAGTTTAACAGTGAGAGCAAAAGAAAGTGCACAGTGAAGAGAAACAAAGGACTCAACTAGGTGACTCAAGAGCAGACACAATGGCTAAACATTTCAGTTTGTACGAGTGTGGGCAGTGGTCATGAGGACAGTGGGCTGATCTTAGGGAAAAGGGGAACTCATGAGATTCCTCTTGAGTTCTGGGAGGGACCACGTAGGTTCAAGGTTGCTATCCCAAGCTAAAGATGGCCTGAAGCACTGTCTCCCCAGGGTGCTACATGATTAATCTCTTTTCTCTGCCCTTCACCTTGTCTCTTACTTGGCATATGAGGGGAAATGACCAGATCTAATATGTGGAACTTCGAGAGTTTGAGCCTGCAGTCTAAAAACTCTGATTTCCTAACAGCATACTGAATCCTTTCGTCGCAGAGATCTTATTCTCAAGAGTTTGGGTCTGACAGTGACTGTTGGGTTGAAGAAGATATCCTGATGGACTGGCAAGTACATGTAAGCAGACATCATGGTACACAGTGTCCGGTGTAAGTCACTAATGATTAGAAGTGTTGGTCTGAAGGCAGGTCTGGGTTCAAGTTCCACTTGTGCCAACCTGTGTAATATTGCAGTAGTTCTTTATCAATGCCTTGATTGAGGCATCTATAACATGAGGATAATAAAAAACACTTTCTAAAGTTATTTAGCTAGCATAAAATTACGTAAGGCATGTAAAGCACTTAGCACTGAATCTGGCACATGATAAAACATTTAGCACACATTAACTAGCATTCATGTAATGATATCTATTAACAGCTTGGATAGGTTTTTTATTTACTTTATTTATTTTGTCTGTCATGGGGCTTGAACTCAGAACCTGGTTGCTCTACCTGAACCTTTTTACTCAAGGCTAGTGTTCTACCACTTTCAGCCACAGCGTCACTTCTGGTTTTCTGAGTGGTTTATTGGAGATAAGAGTCTCACGGACTTTCCTGCCCAGGAAACAACTTCAACTGACCCACGATCCTCAGATCTCAGCCTGCTGAATAGCTAGGATTACAGACATGCACCACTGGCACCCAGCTTTATACTTCTTTTTTAAAATGTTGGGCAGCAGCAGAAATTACCTTGTAATCATTCAGGCCTTAAGTCCACCACCAACATCTTAACACCTTTGCCCACAGTGGATACACCTCGAGGAATAAGTGACTAGTTAACTGACTGGGGAAATACATGGTCATTTACACTTAACAGGTTTGTGACTTTTAGGAAATCCAGTTACACTGATTTTCTCAGGCTATGGTTTGGCTCAGTTCTTTGCTTTCTGGTGACCCAGACAACCTTCTCCAAGCCAGGTGACCCTCCACACTGGACGGCCAGTCTGCAGATGCTGGAGGAAAATCACACTCTCAC